CAAACCCACCAGGATTCATTCGAACTCTACTACTTGGTATTAAAATGTAATATAGAAAACAGCTTCAACTTTTTTTTTCATTAAAGCCTCTTTGCAAATAAGACAGCACCAGCGGAGAGGAGTCAAAAAGTCACTGTGACTTCACTCCATGCAATAGGGACATTGATTTTCTTTGTCTTTCATCTTTAGTCATTGGAAAACCTCTTCTAGGTCTTTACGGACCTATGAATATTCACACTTGTTTCAGCCAGCACTGCAAGCAGAGAAGGTTTCATTATATGCCGGAAAGAAAGAGATTTGTGTCACCTTATTTAATATTTTTAAGGCTGAATCTCCAATTAAAGAATGGAAGAATGAATAATAGATTTCTTAAGCCAATATATTGTTGTGAATGCAAGAGTCTCCAATGAGATTCTTTCATGGCAGGGGATTAATAGAAGCTCAGTCTCTCTACTCAAGAGTCCAGCACCTCACAATGTTAAGATGAATGGGGAGGTGATCTATGCAGTGACCAGCATTATCATTAGTGGCTGACTCAGATGTTGATGCCAAGTAATGTTTGAGGCTCTTTTTTGCGTTTTCTCTTTCACAAAGACTTCATCAAGGAGTTAGATCATCTCCAGTTAGCCTTTTTCTATATAACAAAATTAACATAATAACTCAATAATTCAGCTCTTGTTAGTAGAATTCTTTAGCATTATGCAGGTTGAACAGACCCATCTCTGCATTGCCCCAACATGTGGATGGGATACCTAGCATTTTAGGTAGCAGAGGAACTGGTGCTGTCATGCTCAGGACTGTCCTCAGCCTGCTGGAAAATGGCCCCAGATTCTTTGTTCGATACCCAGAGTAGTATTTTTCCCCATCTACCAGCATAAATCAACCTGCCATGCTTCATTCCATTCTACGTGAATGCCTCCATTCATGTTGGTTAGGATGTGCTTTAGTTGGTGCCTCCCTTGTCCCCCATCCTGAAATTAGTTGTTGGTGTTGTTTAGTTTGTTGTTGTTTATTTGTGGAAAGGGAAATGATGGACTTTTCTTTATTTTCTTGTATTTTGTTTTGATTTGGTGAATTAACGAGCTCTACCATGTTTCTCCTTCTAGACTAAGTGTCAGGATGAACTGTACAACAGTTGTTTTCTCCCAAGTCAGAGAATGGAAAGCAATTGTTGATTGATACCCTGGAATAAGTAAGAAGGGGAAGAAGCAGGGAAGCCCACCAGTTGGAAGTCATATTAACCATAGTCCAGAGAAAATACTTAGCTATTACTGTGGGTGGGATTTCTGAAACTGGCTTCATTTTAGCTAGTTCACACTCAGATGACAATCAAGACTGCACTGCAGGAAACCTTTAAAGTCCAGCTGAAAGCCCCATGAATGGAGTCTATTTAGAGCAGAATGGAATACAGAAGTAGCAAAGCTGTTAATATTCCTGGTTTAACTGAAAGCAGAAATTGGTTGGGGGCCTTTCCTGTAAACATTCACACTCCAATGTCTTTGTGTTCTTTTTCCTCTGTGATTTTAATCTGTGGTGACCCCACAATTGCCTCTCTCTAGGGCCCAAAGAGAGTTTCATCTGTACATTTATTTTCAGGGTGGCCTAAATCCATGCTGGAATCTCAATGCTAACCATTCCCATAAGATGGGTTGGATGCCAGACATTGTGGGTGGTGACTGACACCCAACTCTTCAAACAATCTCTGCTCCAAAAGATAATCTTTAGAAGCAAGATTACCTTTCCCAGCATATTGGCACCACCATGTTCTTTCAGAGGACAACATGTGGCTAGGCCTAGATGTAACCTTTCTAAACATGGCTTTGGCCCAGGCCTCAGAGTCTGGGCATGTCATGGGTTCTGTGAGCAATATCCATTCAGCTCCTGTGGGTGTGTTTATGTTTCTCATATGAAAATAGGCAATCTGAGGTTACTGCTGTGTTGGAAAAATGTCAAGACTCAATTGGCAATATCCCACCAAACCACACGTTTGCAGGAGACAAAAACAAAACCCTTGAATTTCTAAAACCAAGCCTGTATTCTTGTGTGTATCTGTGTGGTGTGTGTGTGTGTGTGTAACACACAGATGTGTAATGAAATAATTGAAAAGACTAAAAGAGATGAAGAAACTAAAACATATGAAGAACATTTGTAGGATTTGGGTTTGGCCGTTCTAGAGAAAAGAAGGACTAGGTGACTTGATAGCAGTATTCCAGTATTTGAGAGGCCGCTACAAAGAGGAGGGGGTCAACTTACCAGAAGGGAAGACAGGAAACAGTGGATGGAAACTAAACAAGGAGAGAAGCAACTTGGAATTAAGGAGAAACTTCCTAAACAGTGAGGATAATTAATTGCCTTCAGAAGTTGTAGGTGCTTCATCACTAGAGGATTTTAAGTAAAGACTTGGACGCTTGAGTTGGAGGTTGGGTTAGAAGACCTCCAAGGTCCCTTCCATCTCTGTTCTGATTGATTGAGTGAAAAAGAAAAATGACCCCCCCCAAAAATTGTTCCTTTAATGAAAAGAAACATAATATAGTGTCCTATCTCCTTGAGAAGCCTCTTGCCCTTTTGTTAAAGCTTTATTTACATAGGTTTATTGTTTGATGGAACATATGTTTTACAGATCTGTCATGTGAAAACTATTAAAAAGAGGAACTAGAGCAATAACAATAAGCCACGTAACCATGGTGCATTTAATCCCTGAAGTTTGACTATTAAAGTATTGCTTGTGCATATGAAGCCAGATCACATCATGCTGTGTTAGCTTCTCTGCAGTAAATTTTCATTGGGATGCAAAGGTTTTTTTCTTTTAAAAAAAATGATTATTAGTATTACATACTTTTGGCTCAGAAGCCCAACTCTGTCTCCACATTGGCTGTCTCCCAATATAATTTAGGTTGTGGAAAGAGGATGTCTGCATATGCTAAGTTTTGGGTTGCAAAATGAAGGCTCAATTGACAAGAATATTGCTGCTGAGTAATTATGAATGTGTTGTAAAATAGATAGCTCCATAAACAAAGCTGCCTGATTAAATTCCAGGTCAAAAATTTCCTGATTGCAATTTCCATTATCATTTTTAACGCATGTTTATTAAAATACAGTAAATATTGCTGGTAACAAGTCACAATTAAAGAGCAAGAACATAGTCTTTCTATTTTCATCAAGCTGTGGTTTTTCCAAATTTATCCCAGTTTCAGGAAGATAACTCAGTTTTCTTTAATTTATTTGATTTACATCCTTCTCTGCTTTTGTTAGCCCTTACAACAGAAATGTAGAAGAAAAATTATTTATAAAATAGTGAAATGGTCATATTAAAATTATTGATAAAATGAAGGGAACGACCATCTTGTGTCCTGATAAATGATGGCTAATACACGGAAACCCTAATACTGTGAGAATTGGGATTTAGATTCTAGTGCTTTCTTCCAGTTATGGGTACTTTCTTCCTACTTGTATAAGATCACCTACTCTATAGTCAGAAGGCTTAGAAGCTTTAGGGGTAAGAGAACTGTGCCAAACACAAGCAGTGTGCCACCATTAGAGCCAATCATGAAAGGTCCATGTATAGTGTTGGCATCTAGAAGCACAGTTGAGAGGCCCTTCCACCAAGTTCATGAAACAGCTACATGAAGTTGATAGTAAACTATGTAAAGTGAGCAAACTGTCTCCCATCAAAAGCCAAAAGTGGGGCTTTGAAAAAGACCAGTTGTCCTGAGAAATCCACATGCTCACAGCCAGGTGACAAAGTGAGATCTTGGTAAATAAAAGGTCTTGAACACTCAACCAGCCACAACGGTAGTATTCTACCTCTGACCCTATTTAGTTCTCTTGTCAATGTCAGTCTGGCTCACTGGGCAAGGTTCAGCAGATATCAGAATATGCCCCAGTGTACCACGAATATACCACAATGTACAGTAGGTGAAGTAAATAAGCTGGTAAAATGCTGATCTTGCTGATTGCTAGATCCCCAGAGAAGCGGCACCTTTCTTAATGCCAATTATGTTAGTGCTAGATCTCTCCTTTTGTATCAATCCCCACTGTCGGTCCTAGCCCTGGCACAGTAATAGTACCAGCTGCAGCCATCAAATCTGTACCATTAGCAAGTTCCAGAGTTATGGGGAAGTTTTTAATTTGCCAATTCTAAGGGAGAGGAGCATTGAGACAGTAAATTGGTAAGAGCATTGGAGAGCATGCATATACACTTCAAAGAGAAAAAAATGTTACTTCTGTAATTCTGGAAGTATCCTTTTGAACAGGGGTGGGCAATTATGGCCCCTTTACATCTGTGGACTTCAACTCCCAAAATTCCTGAACCAGTGTGGAATTCTGGGAGTTGAAGTCTACAGGTCATAAAGGGGCCATAGTTGCCCAGCCCTACAATTGAGATTTAGTTTCTCAATTGTAGGGATGTTTCTGAAGCAAAAGAGATAAAACTCTACCCACCCCCTGAATTAGAAAAAGTTGATGTTGGTTGGCTATCAAATAGGCTGAAGACTTGTGGGCCCCTATGTTTTGTTAAAGGGGCATTTCCTAAGCACAGTGGTGTCTTTCATCAAGCAATATGTTGCTTATTTCATAGTAATTCATATAGATGGACTAATAGAAACTATATTTCTGTTTGGCAACTTTCCAAGTATGTTTTAGAGATGATTACATTTGTTATTGGTAATGTAAACTTTATTCAAGATCTTCAGTTTAATCTTGTGAACTCACCAGGAAGTTCATTCTGATTATTTGTGGTTGGGCAGCACATAATTTCTGTAGCTTTTGCTTAGCAGAAAAAAAAACCCCACTATCTATGTCCATTCCATCTTTGTTTTCTATACTACAAGGTAGATTATGTTTCAAAGATGACAATTTTGCTGGACTGGATGATTGTTTTCTTATGGGTCTGGCTTAAGAGGAAGTTTACTTCGTTCTTAGTAATGAAGATTTCTTGGTTATTTGGCCAAGTTTTTCTATGTTTCTTACAACTTTTTCTTCTCTTGCTTTTCTCCTATTAGCTGGATTGCCATTTTTGATTATTGAAACGAGCACAATCGCACCCTATCCACGGGGATTTTACTGTAATGATGAAAGCATCCGATACCCTGTGAAAAGTGGAGAGACCATCAACGACGCTGTTCTTTGTGCTGCAGGCATTCTTATTGCCATACTTGCTGTAAGTAAGACAAATAACAGAAATCTGCATCTTGTAACCATATTTGCAATAAAATGTTTTCGGTCTTTAAGAAGAACAGTTGGCAATATATGTATATAACAGTTGGTATATTCGGATTTTGGTTAGACTTCAGCCATGGTTGGTTTTTAAACACCTGGGCTTAAATTAAACTCAGCCACTGGATTGTAAACAAAATACTGTACCTGTCTTTTGTTCCTATTCATAAATAGCTAGTCATTAAACTATCTTTAAAAATGGTGGTGGAGTAACTGGCTCTGATATTATAGTTTCAACTGCAAAATATATCTGACTACTATGCGGATCAAAATAATGTAAATGAAGTTAGGGTATCATTGGCCTATCTCTGAGGATAGAACTAGATGATTAAAATGCAGCACTTGGATAACTTTATGAATCAAAGCATATAGAAATAATCTCAATGTAAGGATATGATGGCCTTTCAGAACCATGCAAACAAGATAAATGCCACAAAATTTAGCTCATACCATTTTTACATTTCAGTAACGTGCAGCTAGGAGCTTTGAAGGTTCTGGTACACAGTATCCCTAGACTGATAAGGTTTTTTGAGAGACATTTATCTATATTTCATGATGAATCATGAAGTATATTCTTTCTTGGAATTGTTAGCCATTGTCTGTCAATAATTCTCACCTGGTACAGGTAGTTCTCGACTTATGATCACAATTGAGTCCAGAATATATGTTGCTAAGTGAGAAATTTTTTAAGTGAGTTTTGCCCCATTTTATGACTTTTCTTGCCACATTTGTTAAGTGGCAAGCTTCTAAATTAGTAACATGATTGTTAAGTGAATCTGGTTTCCCCATTGACTTTGCTTGTAAGAAGTTCACAAAAGAAGATCACATGATCCCAGGACAATGCTACCGTCATAAATGTAAACCAGTTGTTAAGCATTCAAATGTAAATCAGATGACCAACAAACATGCAATGGTCATAATTGTGAAAAATAGTCATAAGTCAGTTTTTTCAGTGCTGTTGTAACTTCAAACAATCAGTAAACAAACTGTCATGTCAAGGACTACCTGTATTGGGTTCAGAGATTAAAAACTAAAGAAGTATAATTTGAAATGAAATGTGAAATTGGAAAAATGAAGAGAAATGAAGGTCTAAATTATATAGGGTCTATGGGCCTATACTACCACAGTTCTTTGCACTGAAATAATAATTTGTTTGATATTCTTTTGGTTGGAGATATTTCTGCAAACATTTTCTCAAATCAAATAACATTTTTAATCTTGGAAGGTGTGAACTCAGTATATCATAGGCAGTAAAGGGACACTATTTTATGCATAGACACATAAATGGAACTGGTTTTATAAACAAATTTTACTAACTACCAAAAGTCTTGGGCTGTATGGAATGCCAAAGTAATTACTAAGTGCAATAAGAATGGCTATGTTTTTTAAACCATAGTTTGTTATGTGGCATCCCACAAACTATGATTTGCATTTGCTTTGCAAAGTAGATGAAACTTTGGATGTTTAAAATAGGTAGCAATTAATTCCTTGAAATGCTTAAGAGAAGAAGGAGGAGAGTCCATGAAATCAAGGGTAATTTTTACAGTAACAAATAATGGTTTGGTATGCTTATGAAGTAAGTCATTCCGATAAATGCTGGAAAGTTGGGTTATGTTTCAGATTATACCAGGACATTTAAGTTCAGGGCCGTACATGACCAGCTACACAAAAACACTGAGTATACAAATGTAATTTCCATATTTCAGGACAATTACAGTAATTAATTTACATAAATAATCTTATGAGAAGAATTTTTTGTTCGTATGAATGGCCAACTTTGTTATTTCCTCTCCCAGGCAATTCATTCATTTTTGAATGCCAGCAGGATGACTGGACTGATCAGTCAGATCCCATATTTTTAGTCTTCTTAGCTGAGAGGCTGTCCTTTCCCCACTTTTTCCTTTTTAATTGTTTTTTTTTTTTTTAAATAGAGATGGTAGTGGTAGAGATGATACAAATAAAATGGTTATTACAAAATTTAAAAATAGCATTTCTTATTAGGTACATTCTAGTTAATGCAGCTATGTTTACAACTTAATGTTTCCTATACTAGTCTTGTTAACACTTCAACTAAATAAAGCATTGCAACATTGCTATTGTGTACATAACCTGCTCATTTAGAAAGGTAATGATTGATGAATAATCCAGTGACAAAAAGAAGATACTTGTTTAGATTACCATTTCTATTCTGTATTAATTTTATTTATGTAACATGACCTACATAGCTGATAGAGGCCATAGGAGCTGTAATCCCTGCAGGTTGAAAAATTATATTTCATTGTTTCCAAAATCTTTTAGACTTGCAGGCAACTTTCCAAAAGACAAATAGACGTTTCCATTGAAAGATATAATTTAGGTTCCAGGATTGTTTTAGTAGAATATAATTTCTTCAGAAATATACAGAATCCCTATTCTTGTCTTACTCTTAATGATCGTTTTGTTTCAAACAATATAGAAAGGTTGAGGAAGAATCAGCATTTTTAATGCTAGAACTTTTAAGGATGGGGTTTTTGTTTTTTGTTATCAACAGAATATCTATGAAAGGTGTAGGTCATGTTTTATGAAGCTTCCAGGATCCACAAAGTTCTTCTTAAATAAACTCTGGAGGTTTTGACCTTTGTCTCCTATGGTGCAGGAGAGGATATGAATGCACAAGGCACTTGAGATACTAATTGCCTTAGGGACCATGCTTCCAGACCTCCCCTAAATATTCCCAGAGATTATCCCAGTCTGTATTTAAGAGCCAAGGTGGCGCAGTGGTTAAATGCAGCACTGCAGGCTACTGCTAGATCAGCAGTTCAGCAGTTCAAATCTCACCGGCTCAGGGTTGACTCAGCCTTCCATCCTTCCGAGGTGGGTAAAATGAGGACCCAGATTGTTGGGGGCAATATGCTGACTCTCTGTAAACCGCTTAGAGAGGGCTGAAAGCCCTATGAAGCGGTATATAAGTCTACTGCTATTGTATTTCTTTCACCTTAGAAGATACAGTTTAACTTTTGAGGTTCTCATTTTATCCATTAGTCCTAGTCATGATTTATAAAAGTTTCCCATAAAGGTCAACTAGTAAAGGTCTCAGTTCTAACAAAAGGCTTTCTCTTTTCATATTTGAGTAATGGGCTATTCATCTTTTGACTTCTGTGTTTCATCAGTTTAGAAAAGACACTTGATGTACATTATGCACAAGAGACACAGATGATGTAAAAGTCACATGCATACTTACATGGGAATACATTTAGGTGGACCCTCTAGCTAGCCTTTGCTTCTAAATAAACATGTATAGACATAATTATGTTGCATGTTCTTGGGCAGGATTTAAATTATCTTTTTAGATGGTAGATTACACTGAAGATTTTAGAGGATAGGAAAATAGCACCTGCAATTATTCCTATGTTAGATCTGTCATCTAGATGTACCCATATTTAGCTACAAAGTCTGGCAGAATATAGTATATTTGGGGTTGGGGGAGAGAGAAACAGTTATATTTGTAAAACGATAGCATTAAAAATAAGATAAATATGTGTTCTAGTAATCCTTGCTTACTAACCATTCATTCAGTGACTGTTCAGAGTTATGACGGTGCTGAAAACACAATTTAAGCCTGGTCCTCAACATTCTAGCTGTCTCAGCACCCCCACAAACATATAAGTGTGATCTGGGCATTTAGCATCCAGCTTACACTTAAATGGTTGCAATGTTCCATGGCCACAGGATTGCCATTTGTGACTTTCCCTGCTGGCTTCCACAAGGAAAGTAAATGATGAATTATAAATCATTTGTACCCTCCCCTTTCCAGGCCCTGCTGTGCTATCACTGTGCCTTACCTCCCTGCCATCCTGCCTGTGAGCTCTCTGGAACATGCTCAATTGAGCACGTTAATTAATTCTTGCTTAATGATGACTGCATCACTTAACAACAGAAATTCTGGTCCCAGTTTTCATTCTTAACTGAGGACTACCTGTATTCAACAGAAATCTTACAATTTTCCATCTGATTAGATCCTTAAAAATATAAGTGGTCCTTGACTTACAACCACAATTGGGATCAGAATGTCTGTGCCTAAGCAAGGAGATTGTTAAGTGAGTCGTGGCTAATTTTACAACCTTTTTGCCAACCCTGCAATTGTTAAGCAAGTCCAACTTCCTTGATTTTGCTCATTGGAAGCGGGCTAGGAAGGTTGCAAATGGTGATCACAGGATGCAGTAATCCTTGTAAATAAAAGCCGATTAAGCTAGCAGTTGAATTTTGACGTCAAATCACATTTTTTTAGTGCTGTTATTTTAAGTGGTCACTAAATGAATGGTCATAAATTGAGAACTACCTGTATAATAACTTGAAAATTAAAAATTCCTACTCAGAAAGGGACAATTGCAAGGGTGACTTGACAAAATCAGAGGCAAATTCTGTTAGAGACTTTTCAAGTATTTGCTAAAAAACATTTTCAGTCCTGTTTTCAGCATAGTGAAATGCTGTGCACTTTGTTCTTAACATCACTACTCCCCTTTAAGCATTTCCAGCAGTTCACACCACATGCATCCTCTTTGCTGGAGACACAAGTCAGAAGAAGAGCTTAATATCTTTAAAACTTGTTTATTCAGGATGAAGTTTCAGTTTTTGCACATCTGTACTGAATTAGTTGCCGAAGATTCTTTCATTTTCTTCTTCCTACTAAAAAAAAAAAAAGGGGTCAACATTGCCAAAAGAACAAGATTCTCTTACTTCAACTTATTAAGGGTTTTGCCACAATTTGGCTAAAGAAGGAAGGGTCATGACTATGTAATAGAATGCTGTTGGGGAGGCAAACTCCAATTTTCAAATTGCTATATTTGTGTAATTATCAAGACCACCAGCAGTTTAAAAGAAAACATTAATCTTCTCAAATACTCACACATGTCCCTTAGGCAAGTTATTAGTAGTTTTTTAAAGGGTGCATATTTTGGTAAATGC